ATGTTCAAAATGGACTGATTGGCTGATGATCTCACCTGAGCTACCAGATGGCACAGCCGGGCTCCTTCCTGGGTGAGCCCAAACAGGCTCCGTATGGCGGATTCTACGCTGTGCAGGTTGTCAGATGCTTCCAGCTGCTCCACCAGACCCTGCAGACAGAATGAGACAACCCCTATGACGACTTTCATATTCCAGTGTAAACAAAAACAATGTAACTTATTATTATTTCACAACATGACGTAGAAATCAAGAAAACGTCAAAATATTAATATTATTTGTTGTAGTAATGTGCATATTATATGCCAGTGTTGGGTCTGACAATATCAGGTTCACTTGCTGGAATGACTTTGCAGAGAGATGTAATATGAAGAAGTTGTTCCCTCCTCGGAGGGTCTCATCGTGAACTACACTACATTGCCAGAAGTATTGGGACGCCTTTACACGCACATGACCTTTAATGGCCCCCCAGTCTTAGTCCTTAGGGTTCAGTATTGGGTTGGCTCCGCCCTCTAATGACATCCAAGTTTTAGTGCGGTCACGGAACACCTGAATCACATGATTTGGAGGGGGAGGGGCCAATACGTTTGGTTATATAGAGATAATCAGTCTCCACACTCTGCAGGAAGAGTCAAGCTGGCAAAGTGTTAAAAGATCCAGAAATAATGTATCTTGTGATTGTAAATGATTTCCTCTGCAAATTCCTATGTGAATGAGTTGATGGATAAAATGTTTATATTTATTGAGAACCTGCATGACAAGTGTCCAGGTCATCTGCTTCACGTGCAATGTTCAGAACCAGAGGTTGCTGTTTTCCTGTCTTTGTGGACTCACTCCGGCTTAACATTATTGCTCTGGACCGGCTTCCTGAAAGTAAGGTAGATCACGCCTGTGCAGTGTGTGCCAGCATGGCTGCTTGTTGTCTCCACCAGGTGAGCAGGGCGGCAATGCAGCACATTTGAGAGACAGGAGCGTTGTCACCCTATAACAGGAAATGGCTGAACAACGACAGAGCGTTGTCACCCTATAACAGGAAATGGCTGAAAAAGGACAGAGCATTGTCACCCTATAACAGGAAGTGTCTGAACAAGAACAGAACAATGTCACCCTATAACAGGAAGTGTCTGAACAAGGACAGAGCATTGTCACCCTATAACAGGAAGTGTCTGACCAAGGACAGAGCATTGTCACCCTATAACAGGAAGTGTCTGAACAAGGACAGAACAATGTCACCCTATAACAGGAAGTGTCTGAACAAGGACAGAGCATTGTCACCCTATAACAGGAAGTGTCTGAACAAGGACAGAGCATTGTCACCCTATAACAGGAAATGGCTGAACAAGGACAGAGCATTGTCACCCTAGAACAGGAAATGACTGAACAAGGATAGAGCATTGTCACCTTATAACAGGAAGTGCCTGAACAAGGACAGAGCATTGTCACCCTATAACAGGAAGTGTCTGAACAAGGACAGAGCATTGTCACCCTATAACAGGAAATGGCTGAACAAGGACAGAGCATTGTCACCCTATAACAGGAAATGGCTGAACAAGGACAGAGTGTTCTCACCCAATAACAGGAAGTGTATGAACAAGGACAGAGCGTTGTCACCCTAGAACAGGAAATGACTGAACAAGGACAGAGCGTTGTCACCTTATAACAGGAAGTGTCTGAACAAGGACAGAGCATTGTCACCTTATAACAGGAAGTGTCTGAAGAAGGACAGAGCATTGTCACCCTATAACAGGAAATGTCTGAACAAGGACAGAGGGTTGTCACCTTATAACAGGAAGTGCCTGAACAAGGACAGAGGGTTGTCACCTTATAACAGGAAGTGCCTGAACAAGGACAGAGGGTTGTCACCCTATAACAGGAAGTGTCTGAACAAGGACTTCCATGGCCGGATCGCCAGGGATCAGTTTATAAAAAGCTGCAGATTTGTAAAGGTGGAAAATCACATTTCGGAGATTATTTGAGCGCTCAGAAGAAATTTATACAATAATAATAGAAATGTGAATAATATTTTCCTGTGCAGAGCTGCAGCAGAGAAGAGATTTACAATGAAATAAATCGGTGTGATGAGACCTGAGCCACAAGCGGAAGGCGAGATCCTCATCCCGGCCCGTTGTCAGCGTTTGTCCTTCGCTGCCCCCAATTATTACAATGAACAGAATTAATGACACGGCGAGACATTTACATAACTGAGCCGAATACAAGAAAAACAATCATTAGAGGACGGCGGGACGCAAGCCGCGTGCGCGCTATCAGCAATGAGCCTCTAATGGCTGCAACAAACTTACCGCTACAGACCAATTCCTGATGATGCAACAATGTAACAACATAAGAAACAGCAAAAGCAGAAGAAGCATCGCCACCAACGCCCAGCACACGGAGAGGGTGATTGTGAACGCGGATCGCCACCAACGCCCAGCACACGGAGAGGGTGATTGTGAACGCGGATCGCCACCAACGCCCAGCACACAGAGAGGGTGATTGTGAACGCGGCATATACAATACTTGTTGGGTTTGTTCTCGCGGATCGCGGTTTCGTTTCATTTTTAAATGTGTCCGAACATTGGAACTTCCATTATATTTCTAAAACAAGTCCCCTTTATTGGAGGAGCCTTGTCTGCACCACGTCACTGAGATAATAAGTAACATTTACATTAGAAAGACTCAGGGACACAATAAATATATATGTCATAAATCCCTCCCCGGGAGAGCGACATCCTCCGGGATATTAACACCAACCTTGAGATGAAGGTAACCGGCTCCATACAATTGTTACATCAATGACTCAACACGTCTGACAGAGGATCAGCACACGCGTGAGAACACTGAGCCAGTCACATCGGTCTCTGTACACAGGAGCTTACACTCTAATGTCCCCCCCCCCACAGTCACATCAGTCTCTGTACAGTGGAGCTTACACTCTAATGTCCCCTCCCCCCCACAGTCACATCAGTCTCTGTACAGAGGAGCTTACACTCTAATGTCCCCTCCCCCCCACACTCACCTCAGTCTCTACACAGAGGATCTTACTCTATAGTTCTGAG